AACCAGCGTACTCTGCTATGGATATGGTTGAGTCTATACAGTATGTGTGTAGATCTCCATGTATAGTAATAACTATGCTGGTAAGAAAGGTGATTCAGCCACAGCACCATCATGCTGACTCAGTGTAGATCAGGACCTGACTTCAGCCCCTGCCTCTGCCTCAGCCAATCACAATGGTCCCCTGAGAGACCATTGCACATCATTTCCCATCTGCAAACCACAACAGTAACATCAGACTATTGCAAAATCTAATCTCAGCCCTAATCTAATTCTATAGGTACAAAGAGTCCTGAGAAGCATCTGGACCCACACTGGAGGGAAACAACAGGCACGATACACAACTAGATTACAGGAAACAATCAATCATTCACTCATATAGACTTCTTCGGATTCATTTTAGAAGAAAACAGAAAGAAGAGGGAGGATTGCTGCCCTGTGCCCACACATTGCAAAGAGAGGAGAATTGACTCAGGTGGCTGGCTTTTTAACTCCACTCAAATCAGAGGTTAAATTGTGGCTAAGTACCTGAGGAATTCAGGCACTAGGAACAGGGTTTTTAAAGGCCCAATGCAGCTGTTTTTATATCAATATCAAATCATTTCTGCGTGGTAAATATTATTGTTGTTTCTATCTCATATCAAGCTGTTAGGACAATTAGGACTGTCTGGGAGTGGTCTGTGTGGGGAGGGGAAAACTGAAAACTTGCTGTTATTGGCAGAGCGGTTTGGAACTCTCTTTGTTATTGGTCTATTAATCAATTTACTGCATGGTGATGTCCCCATGGAAAGCCAAACTCCCGCCCATGCAAACCTGCTGATTAGAAGGTCCTGTGTACATTGTATTTTCAACCAGCAACTATCAGTAAATAGCAGTGATCAAATTTGTTCACACATTTACAGTGTTAGTTTCATCAGCTTTTGTACAATATGATATACTGTAAACCATAGGAACAATTATTTTGACTGCGCTGGGCCTTTAATGAGCGTTGGAGCAGACCCTTTACTCCTCAGGGTGTCTTTACCCTGAGACACTGATGCGTAGAGCAGGGGTTAATGAGTGACCATTCTACACACACACATACATACATACATATACACACACACGTGCGCACACACACACACAAAAACATGCCCACAAACACAGGCATGCACACACACCCTTCTCTGGCCCTTCATTGCACCTGAAACTGAGACCAGGGAACTGTAGACACTGGGCTTACAGTGATATTTTGATACACACACACACTGATAACTGGTTCTGTTGTTGCACTGCTTACAACAAGTGTCTCAGTCGGTTTTGAAAGGTCCCCTTGAAAGAAGAAAGAAAAGCTTCAGCTTCGCCCTCAATTCTTCAGGAATCAGTAACTACAGGAAACACTACAGCAGCCTCTCCTCTCTTTCGTAAAGTACCATCAGTTTGACGGTTAAGTTGTACATGGTCATTATGTAACTAACTACAGCAGTCAAGGAAGCAGGCAGCTGATGTACAATGGCCTTTGGCAGGCAGGTTGTATAACTTGTCTCCTCTATGACATGGGTAGGAGCAGAACAGGCCTGGGTTAATGGATGCCCAAGGATAGAGAAAGAAGAGAGGGGATGGCTGGGAAAGGAAATGGCACTGTAGCCCTTTCCTGCAGTCAAATGACCTAGTGGCCTCATGGGTGGAATGTTATTAATATTTGTCATAATTTCATAATGAATAAACATTTTAAAAATGTACCCGCCAATAATCTGGTGTTTCTATGTCAAACTGTTCTGTTATATTTCAGTTTTCTGTGATGTATATAAAGTGTAATATCGGGATGCAAACACTTTTTTTTAAGCACATAACCATGTGTGTGAGGTGTATACTTTTGTTTCAAAGTACACCCTGATTTAGCCCACTGCAGTAAAAGGTACAATCAATATTCTTATCGTCATCATCATCATCACCATTATCTGACGACATCCACTGATGTCTTATGATATGCCTCTGATGGAGATGGGCTGGGGGATGATGAAGAGTAAATGGACTGTGGGAGAAAAAGGCACTTCAATGGAAATATTACTTCCACGGTCATCTGACTGACATCATCCACTGTCGTCATATGGAGTGGATTTCATACAAAGTCCTCCTGTCCTGATGCTCTAATGTTGTGTGTTTGTTTCAATTATGACATTGTGAAGCAAAACGCAAAAGGCAACACTGTGTGTTGTGCGTATGGATTATGATGCCAACTGTCATCATTCACTGTTCAGTTGCCTTTTCCAGGACATCAGGTGTGATTTTTCTTTTTCCTTCTGCCTTACAGGCACCTGGCACCTGACTCACTGACTGACACGTTGTTTAGTGTCTGTCATAATGAATATGTGCATTAAGCAAAGTTTACAGAGCATCACTGTGAGTAATAGCTACAGTAAACAATAACAGCAGTGTCAGTGTTTAATGCTCAGTCTTCAACTGTGTTATGGTCCATTGTACTTGTTTTAGTTACAGTCTGTCCATTGTTAAGTACTGTACTGGAGTGGAGATCATGAGGCAAGTCATTGGATAATTCTCAACGTCAATGCTCTGTGATTAACAGGTACTAATAGGCCTTTTCCCCTTAGAGCACAGAAAGACAAACTCTGCAGTTTTCAACAATGATCAACTGATGCAAATGATACATGTAAGCGCCTCAAACCAAATAAACCAAACAACCTTTTCCTAAAACCTTTTCCTAAAATGTCTTCATCAAATAGTATTTCAATGAATAAATCTCACTCTCTCTTAGTGTCCAGTATTCACACAGGATAATTATGTCACTTCAGTTACCAATGCCACTAGTGAAAGAAGGGGAAGATTCAGCCAGAGAATTCTTCCACTCTTGAACTGCCACTTCTCTTCCCCTTGCTTAAATCTGGCAGGGCTCTTCTACACGGGTGACTGATGTCCATTCACAGGGTCACCACACTGGGCGGGGGGTTCACTGACCAGTGGCCACAGCTCTACTGCTTCCTGGGTCAGAGGTCATGGTGCAGCTATAGGGAAGAGCAGGAAGAGGGGTGCAGGGGTCCACGCAGTGGCTGTGGGTTTCACACTGTCAGTTAGGGGGGACAAGAGACAGAGGACACACACCCATCTTCTCTTCCTCAAGCCCAGCACTATGATGAATAACACAAAATAACAGCGATCATATGTGGAAATATTCTGTTGTGACAAGTGCAGTTAAATACCATTATGCCACAAAGGGAACTCTGTCAAAACACTAGATAAGAGGACGACACTAACAGACATACAATCTTGTGAGTTGGAGTTATTTCAAACGGGAAAAAAACTACCCAAAAATGTTTTGCAATGTCACAGCCAAGGGCAATGAGTGATAATTGCAGAAAATAAATTGAGAGACACATTCTTCTCTTCTGGCAAAGGGATACCAGTGAGATTCCTAAAACACTTCAGTTTATCAATCTGGGCTGAGTTAATGTATCTGACCTCAAGCCAACACAAGCTTATCTTGTGATATTCTGTTGTGCCTTTTTAATGGCTTGTATTGTGGTCATGTTTGGGTTTAAGGGCATGTTGTGATGATCTTGTTGTGTGTTGTGTGAAAGATAAATATCCCCTATCTATTTGTGAAACGCCTTCTAATATAAAACTAATATTAGAAAGTAAACACTCTGTCCCTCTGGCTGGCAGGCTGGGGCAGTGTTGTAGTACTCGAGTATAAAGGACTCAGACTTGTAGTCGGAATCGAACACTAGGGACTTGGGAACTTGACTCGGACTCAAGGTTTAGTGATTTGACTACATCACTGGGCTGGCGGTTGAGTGCAGCAGCTCAGCCTGTCGACAGAAGAGAGTCAAGAGACCCATCTCTCTATATATAAACAAAGAAGCTGTAGGCGAGGGAACGACACATAGTGCAACACAGTTATGGCCTAAGAGTCAAATACATACAGAGAAGTCTCAGCCAGAAGGATTCAGCTACAACACCTAGCCTTGCTTGTATACTGAGAGAAGTGGATGAAATTGAATAGATACTGTAACTGTTGTTATTGTCTCCCATAGTAAGAAAGGACACTTTGCAATATCACATGACGTGTGCCGGCAGATGGTTTGCATGCATGTCTTTGTATGGCGGTTCATGAATATTTATCATGAATGTACTGTATAACAATAAAATGTTCCATTGCCATGGCAGCAGCACGCTTCTCCTAAGAATAATCCACCCTGGGCTAAGAGCAGGGGGAGGAGCTGGGCTTTGATGGACATCGCACTGCACACTGCCCTATCCCATCTGGACAAGAGGAATACCTATGTAAGAATGCTGTTCATTGACTATAGCTCAGCCTTCAACACCATAGTAACCTCCAAGCTCATCATTAAGCTCGGGGCCCTGGGTCTGAACCCCGCCCTGTGCAACTGGGTCCTGGACTTCCTGACGGGCCATCCCCAGGTGGTGAAGGTAGGAAACAACACCTCCACTTCGCTGATCCTCAACACAGGGCCCCACAAGGGTGCGTGCTCAGCCCCCTCCTGTACTCCCTGTTCACCCATGACTGCGTGGCCACGCATGCCTCCAACTCAATCATCAAGTTTGCAGAAGACAAAACAGTAGTAGGCCTGATTACCAACAATAACGAGACAGCCTACAGGGAGGAGGTGAGGGCCCTGGTGGAATAGTGCCAGGAAAATAACCTCTCCCTCAAAGTCAACAAAACGAAGGAGCTGATCGTGAACTTCAGGAAACAGCAGAGGGTGCACCCCCCTATCCACATCGACGGGACCGCAGTGGAGAAGGTGAAAAGCTTCAAGTTCCTCTGCGTACACATCACTGACAATCTGAAATGGTCCACCCACACAGACAGTGTGGTGAAGAAGGCACAACAGCGCCTCTTCAACCTCAGGAGGCTGAAGAAATTTGGCTTGGCCCCTAAGACCCTCACAAACATTTACAGATGCACAATTGAGAGCATCCTGTCGGGCTGTATCACCGCCTGGTACGGCAACTGCACCGCCCGCAACCGCAGGGGCACACTG